AAGATTAAAAAAATAATAATAATAAAGTAATAGGAGCCCTTTAAAATAAACCGGCTGAACTTTTTCGTGTCGTGGCCTGTGTTGGGGTAGACCAGCATACAGGCGTCGTCTCTCAAGTGAATTGGAGCATTGATAAAAGCCAACAGCCCTGCTCTGTGTGTGTGTGTGTGTGTGTGTGTGTGTGTGTGTGTGTGTGTGTGTGTGTGTGTGTGCGTGGGGCCAGCTGCACACACAAGGCCAGGTGGAGGAGGACGACGACCACAAATACTTCCTCTTTTTCATAAGCAAATATTTTGTCAAAATGAACCAAACCTCAAGATGTGCAGCGACTCAAAAGGGAATTTTAGTCGAGCTGTAATTCTTTGTTGGAGTGAACGTATAATTACTTGATTATGTGGTTCAAATAATCATCCATGCAAGTTAAAAGACCTGTTATTCAGAGACCTGTTATTCTGAAATATCTGAGTGGGCAAACTTTTTCAATCCAAGATCTACTTTTAAAGGCAGCAAAGTCCAAAGATCAAGCAGCAGATTTGTATTAAAGCTGGGTGTTATTAGAGTATTAATTATTTTTTATTAATTAATTGATTATTTTTTATTACTTTAAAATAAACATTTAAATAAAGTAGGGCTGGGCAAATTTTTTTTTTTTAATTAATCGCATTAATCGCATGAGTTCAAGTGATTAATCGCATGTTATACGCAAAACCAATTAATTAAAAAGTAGAGTATATTAGTATATTTTTTCAATATTTTTTTATTCAGTGAGTAATAAACACTACACTAGTAATTAATTTCTAGATCATTGTTATAAACTTGGACTGATTTCTCTTGGGAAACAAAGGGTTAATATAATAGAATGGAAATGGACCAATCCACATTTTTTCTTCCAGTTGTATCTGGGTAAATCAGTGACCGGGCCGGCGGCTCGCGGAGGCTCGGACACGTTGCATCTCACGTGGTCAGAAAAAAAGTGAAAAAAGAATAAAGAAAAGACGTCAAACTTAAAGAAATGCTCACGGTGAACTTTTTCAAAATAAAAGCCAGTGAGAAACAGACGTTTACAGTTAAATAAATACATTTTAAAAACTGCGTTAACGGCGTTAAAATAATTGTCGGCGATAATGACTTAATTAACGCAAAATTAACGCATTACCGTGCCCGGCCCTAAAATAAAGACAATATGTAAATTAAAGCTGTAACAATAACTGATATATCACATATTGTGGTGTTACAAACCAGTGCGAGGGACCAAGGAAAGTAACACAAACAAGACGTGATGTAAGGTAAGTGGCTTTTATAGGAGTTTCAGCTGACGTCATTGTTATTAAAAGCCCGCGTTGCTGCTGGGAAATTATTTGGTCGGAGGCAAGAAACACGGTAGCGTCAAACACAGTGCGTAACCTCACGTATTTATCCCCGATAATGGTAAATTCCTGCTGCATTATCGGATGCACAAATAGAAGCACGGAAGAAGGAAAATGTCTTTTTCGTATTCTGAGTGAAAAGAACCACTAACGGTGAATTAAACGGCTTTCAAACATCCGCAGAGCAAACGTAGAAGATCCTAACAAACCGTGGACTCCAACAAGTTCAACAACACATCGAGACTCTTGGAGGTTTTCATCTTTTCTGCTGTGAATGGCCCAGGAGTTTCCACCAAGTCATTGTGGATATCGCCCAAGTGAATATTTGTCCAGGTAGTTGGAGATTCCGACCAGAAATTTGGTTTGGTCCAGACTTTTGTCGGGGTTGAAAAGGGTGATTTGTCGTCCGTCGATGCTTATGACCAATTTCTGGTCAAATGGTCTTGGGTCCTCTGCCGTTAGAGTGGATAAATAACCGGGATCAATACCCTTTACGTGCTTTCTCGCTCCGTCCGTCATGTTGAATTAGTGTTTCTTGCCGCCGATCAAAATAATTCCCAGCATGCAACACGCTTTTGTCAACAATGAAACTCGCCTATAAAGTAAATGTAAGGAAGTATAATAACAACAAAAAAAAAGCCGTTTTACATACGATAAATCAAAATTTCCAAATACAACTAAATATCTCTATTGGGTTAAATAACTTAAAGAAAATACAAATGCACAAGGGCCGAGCCAAACTGGCAAATACAAACAAACTATAGGTCAACAGCGACCCCTAGAGTCTCAAAACTCTCAGTAGCAAAGGGATGTGACGAACACAAGTCTATCAACGACTGTGGCGAACTGAAACTGACATCCAGCCGCCCGGAGGAACAGGCGCACAGCACTTTTATTGGACAAGGTGATGGGATGTGAAGGAAGGGACTTGGAGGAGCGGGACGTCAATCAACCAGGTACGAGGAACATCAGAAACCCGTCCAACAGCGACGGGACCACACCCCACCAATCAGGCGCCAGGTACCACACAGGACATGTAAATATGAAAGGTAAAACAGGGAGCGCAGTAACATGTGGCACAATCGCAACGAGCAATAAAAACACCCAAATTTGAATATCTTATTAATATACTAAGTTAATATTGGGGATGGGACGAGATCTCGCGAGATCAAATTGTCATGAGACTGTGCGCACATGGGAACTGACCCTCCGTCTGAACATTTGGAACGGGCATGAAAGGTTTACACGCCTCACTCAAGTTTTGGAAAGTTGTGTGGGGGAGTTTGTGTGGAGGAGTCTACAGCTGCTCGGAGACGTGTAGCTCCCACATTCAGACAGAAAACACTTTAAACTCTGTCTCAGTTTTTTTATTTCGTAGTGACAGGACCAATACTGATGCAAATAATCACTGCTAAAGTTGGTAGAAAAAGATCCTGAAATAATATACTGTATTTTTCGGGCTATTAGTCGCTCTGGATTATAAGTCGCACTGTCATTAAATGGTCTTTTTTCGAACTTTTTTCATAAATAAACCGCGTGGGACTTTAAAGGAAACACAACAGTGTGATGGGTGAGTGGTTTTGTTTGTTTGTTCGTTCACGGTGACTCTGGGCTTTGTTCAGTTGTGGCGTGTAGGGAGGGTGTGTCTGGGACCAACGGATTGTCGGCGTGTTCGCACTGACTCAGTTGTTCAGTCGTGTCTAGAAGCGGCACATTGCGCTCGCTTTTTCGGTTCGTTCCTCCGTTCCGTTCCTCGTCGGCGTGGAGTGATGAGTGTGTCTGTGGGTGTGTTTCGCTGTGCGGTCGCTGTCTGCTCCGTGTGTGTTTGTGTGTGTTCTGCAGGTGGTGCGGCTTTGTAGTTTACTGAAGTCGTACTGGGACATCCGAGTGGATTCGTGTATAGGGCGCTCTGGATTGTGGTGCGCAGTCGTTTTTTGATGCGGTTAGCGGCTTAAGAGCGCGTCTAATAGCCCGGAAAATACAGTAATCAAATGTGCACACGTCTAATTCATCTCTGGGCCGTGTGGAAGGTGCAGTGTTTTTCACACTTAAACACTGATCCACAAAGGGATATTTAGGCCTTTTTCATCCATAATGACTTAGTTTAAAGTGAGAAAAAAAGAGAGAAGAGCTCCTCTGTGTCCCACTCTGTAATTCTAGAGCAGCAGCAGAGTGAGCAACACAAAATAGAGGAGCAGGTCCAGGTTTATTCTAAACATTTAAATGATAAGGCCTATACTGAGTATAATAATCATAACTGAATATAAGAATCAGTAGTGATGCATGGGCTGTTTAAAGCATAAAGGTTGTTAAATGCATCAAAAGCAAATGATAAAAATGACTCAATTTTGTCATTTTTATAACTATCAACACTTAAAAACTATTCACAACACAATATATCAAGAAATTAAACCAATCCATCCATCCATTTTCTTCCACTTATCCAGGGCCGGGTCGCGGGGGCAACAGTCTAAACAGGGACTCCTAGACTTCCTTCACCCCAGACACTTCCTCCAGCTCCTCCAGGGGGACCCCGAGGTGTTCCCAGGCCAGCCCAGAGACACAGTCCCTCCAGCTTGTCCTGGGTCGTTCCTCGTCTTTCTGGTGGGACATGCCCAGAAAACCGAGGGAGACGCCCAGGAGGCATCTGGAACAGATGTGTGGCCATACCGGCTTGTCAAAACCTGATCCTGTCAGATCTCAGAAGCTCCGCAGGGCCGGGCCTGGGTAGTACTTGGAGGGGAGACCACTGGGAATTCCAGGAGCCATAATGGGCCAGTCGTAAAAACTGTTGTTGTGCCCTTAGGCAAGACACTTCACCCACATTGTCTAGTATGAAAGTGGTGTGTGAATGACGATGGTGGTTGGAGGGGCCGATGGTGCAGATTGGCAGCCTCACCTTCCGTCAGTCTGCCCCAGGGCAGCTGTGGCTACAGTAGTAGTTTACTACTGCTGAGTGTTGAGTGAGTGAATAATGAACTGTAAAGCACTTTGGGTGTCTTGAAAATTTATTAAAAGCTGCCTGAACCTCCTCAGCTGCTTCTCTTAACGTGGAGGAGCAGCGGATCTACTCCAAGCTCCTCCCGTGTGACTGAGCTCCTCAACAGGGTGAGGGAGCGCCCAGCCACCCTGGAGAGGAAACTAATTTCGGCCGCTTGTATCCGCAATTTCGTCCTTTCGGTCATTACCCAGAGCTCGTGACCATAGGTGAGGGGAGGAACATAGACTGACGGTAAATCGAGAGCTTTGCCTTTCAGTTCAGCTCCCTTTTCACCACAACGGTCCGATACAGCACCATACTGCACCACCTGGCATCCACCTGTCAACCTCATGCTCCATCCTCCCTTCAATCGTAAACAAGACCAAGATACCTGAATCTCCACAGAATCAAAACAGAACTGATCTGATTATTGCAAATTATTCAAAATCTCGTCTCGTGTCTCATCTCGCCTTGTGAAAATTCTGTCTCGTTCCACCCCTAATTAATAACAGTCAAAGCAACAGCATCTAACCTAAAAAGTTACGCAGTGCACCTTTAATTCTCTAGTCGGTTAGAGCCCGTCAATGGAGCGACGCAGTTTTCCGATATTACTGGTTTTACTGGTCCAAATCAGTAACAAAAACCAAACTCACGTTATACTCCGGCTGCGTCTCGGAGCTGGAGGTGCTGCTGCTTTGGGCCGAGTCCTTCGAGTCCTGCTCCATCAGCTCCAGACTGGGGGCTTCAGGGACACTGGGCACCGCCGGGGCTCTCCTGGATACAAACTGACAGAGAAAAAAAAGAAAAAGTAAATTTGTGAACCTCTGAGTTATGTGGCAACGGTGACTCTGCATTTGAATGTCTGCGTGGGGGGAAAAAAAAACACAGTAAATGCAAATAAACTACTCTCAGAAGTTCCATTTATTCTAAAAGTTCGACTGGAAAAATCAAACCCACGTGTTAATCTATGAGAATCTAAATGTGTTTAGGTTTTACTTCTTCAGTTTCACGGGGTTGGCTTCAGGTTGTGCTCAGATCAAACCAGGACCACACAGAACGCACGATGTCAACACTAAAACAACAATAAAACCGACATCCTCCATGAGAAAACTCGTCTTTCACACTTTTTATAGAGCGATTAGCTGCTGATTCACAAAGAACAAGTTGTGAACGGAAACCGAAACATCATCTGCTGTAGGTGAGGTCATGACCCAGAAAACGGTCGCTCTTCGCACAGGAGCAGGAATGTGGACAATCTAATAGTTTTATCGTTTCCTTCATAGCGCAGGACTTGGCTTCGGTACTTTTTGTTTTAAAGTCGGATTGAAGTACAAATAAACAGAGCAGATTTCCCATTAGGATATAACTGAATAATAAGAACAACAGATTTAAACGTCACTGTTGCACCGAGCACAAAAATACTAATCAGAAAAACTTATGTAAGTTTAAGTTTATTTAGTTTTTTAATGATAGAAAAATTAGGAATTAGCCCAGTAATACCCACAACATTTAACATTTAGGCCCCGTTTACACGTACACGGGTATTTTTAAAAACGGAGACATTTCCCTTCGTTTGTGTTTGTTCCCATCTTTTACTCGCAAACGGCAAATTCGCCCCTGAAAATGAATCTTTCTAAAAACTCCGGCGAGAGTGAAGATTCTGGAAAGTCCAGTTTTGCGTTTGCGTGTAAAGTGAAATAAATGGAGTTTTGTTCAGTCGACGCGTCAAAAGTGCGACCATGTGTTTGCAGACACAGCTGATGGATCATTAATCTGATTCATTCGCCGGTTTCACTTCATAGAAACCGTCTGACATCGCAGTGTTAGGATTCGTTCGCTTGACTGTAGGCGGGTACTTTTTATCATTTAACCAATCGCTGCTATTTGGTCGTGACGTATGTAATGCGCCGCTAACAGGGCTAACTGGTATATTAAGCTTTTCTCAAATCCCGTAGGAAGAAGGACAATAACGTCTTTCCCCTTGATGAAATTCACCAAACATTCTCTTTATTCCAGTTTTAAATCCTCGATCTCTGCAATCGTTGACAACACAGAATATATGGCTCTTCGCTGATTGGCTGGTGCCCAAACTCACACTTCCGGGGGTTTTGCGAACAGTCTAGTGCACAGGTGTCAAACATAAGGCCCTCCAAGACCTTTAATGTGGCCCTTGGGTGATTTTCTACTAAAATATTAGAATGATCTTTTCTATTAAAATATTGTTAATTTTCTGTGGTGTTTATCACAGCAGCGTCTCCAGTGTCTCTGTACGTGGCCCCTCCCACCAGAGCAGCACAAATGAAGACTTGTCTCTTTCCAAACGCTCTTAAAGGACGATCGTTTTGACTGTTGACCGTGACACCCTCATCAGAAAAATGTCCAACATGAGAAAAGTGGAGCCGAGTGCAGGATTTTACAAGAAAAATTGACTTATTTCTATTTGCATACAAGTTCATGTTAAAACATTGTGTTGAAATTGAATTTTTCTTAAAGTTTCAGGTTGTTCATAATATTATAATATTATAATAAGAAAGAGTTCATCAATTAAAAAAGATTTCTGTAATATACTTGTGTTTCTCTGCACAAATATTTGAACTTATTGTTATTTTTGGGGTTTATATGACATGAGTTTTCTGATCCGGCCCCTTTGAGATCAAAGTCGGCTGGATACGGCCCCCGGACCAAAATGAGTTTGACACCCCTGGTCTAGTGTATTCTGATTCCTGACCTAGTCACTGGAGAGAAATGAAATTGAGCGGAGGCACTAGGTGGCACCAGCCTGGCTAATGGATCATATCCATGACCAGAGACCAATGAGCTCGGAGGTCAGTGATTTTGCCACTTCTCCCTCCTACTTAAAGACCCAGTTGCCGTCTCTGCCAACGTCGCCGGTTTTGGGTCCAACCTGGGAGGACCTGCTGTCTGTCGCCCATAATCCGGGCGTAGTTATGATGGAGTTTGTGGGAAATATTATGTGTTGGTCATGCTAATTCACCCAATATTATGGACTTTGGAATGACAACAGGGTGGAAAACACGTATGACTATCTATAGGTCTATATAACATGTTTTTCTGTACTTTGAGTGCCACGAAGCAGAAAAACTGACATATGTGGACCCCGTGGCATGTTTCCACCCATGATAAGGTGTACTGGGTCAGCAGTATTGTTCATTTTCTTGCTGTGTATATGCTAAATCAACAAGTTAATGTTTTGTCAAGATGTAGTATAAAGCTACCCCTGATTTTGAGTTGGTCAGAGACGTCGTCCGGGGTGGCAGTTGTACTTGGTAATCAACTTGAATCTCTCTCAATGGAAATGCTGAAATAAAGTGGCCTGTTCTCTCGGATTCTCCATCTCCTGTGCTTCTTTTTAGGACACGCATTGAACCTTCCGAAAAAACCCACAAGTTCGATGGCATATTTATGCGGGTTGACGTAAGCGAAAACTTTTTTGAAAATTATGCTATGTGCGCGTGGTCAGGCTGGCACCACCTAGTGCCTCTGCTTAATCTTATTTCTCTCCAGCGACTAGATCAGAAATCAGAATACACTACATGGTTTGTAATAATCTCAGAAGTTGTAGACCGCGCACCGGCCAATCAGTGAAGAGCTGTGAAGCCATGACGTCAAACTCAAGCGTCTGTCTGGGTCCCTTTTGTGGAACAGCACAACATCCACCAGATCTCATATTTGGAGGGCATCATCCTAATGGTACAGGTGAGTGCAGTGCATGTAAATATAAAAACTTTTGACACCACGGAGAGGTGTAGCGAGCGACTACAATTGGCTACAGTTGGAATCCGTAAGTCTTCTACGGGCTGTGCACTAGTTTTTTTTATAATTCTATCACCACATGAAACCCATTCACATTACAATATATAAAGAACTTAAACCAATTAGAAATCATGAGACCAAAACTGAAAATTCTTGTTCTCGTGGACCCAGTCTCATGTCTTGTCTCGCCTCATGAAAATTCTGTCTCGTCTGACTCTTAGTTAACAGCGTATTGGTCTGGGTCCCTTTTGTGGAACAGCACAACAGTAAACAAAGTGTTGAGATGGACGTAGACGAAGACAGACATTCTGTGTTGGCAACGATTCCCGAGATCGAGGATTTAAAACAAAGAGAATGTTTGGTGAATTTTATCAAGGGGAAAGATGTTATTGTCCTTCTTCCTGCAGGATTTACATTACAGACGTCACGACCAAACAGCAGCGATTGGTTAAATAAAAAAAGTACCCTCCTACTGTCGAGCGAACATACTCAGCTCTGTGTAAACGTAGCTTTATTATGAGCTCACCTGTAGCGCTCCCGTGTCCTGTTTGCGGTTCTGCCTTCGGGGTTTGCTGCTGTTGGGAGTCTGTCCGGCCTGAAAGATCGTCCTGGGGCGAGGAGTCTGTCGCAAACTCAACTGGGACTCCCCGGACGACTTCTACAAATACAAACATTTAGTGAATTAAAAAAGAACACACACGATACCAGTCAAAAGTCTGGACACATTTTGGACACATTAGCATTGTAGATTTTCTCTGAAGGCATCAAACCAAAACTATGAAGGAACACGTAGAATATTCACTGCGTGTTATTACATATCTTGGGTTTTATGCATATTCTCCAACTCCAAGCTGTATAAACTTGAACTTTTATTGGATTTAAGCAGATCCGGAGATGTGTTTTTGAGTGTGGTCTAAGGAGATGAACGCTCTATATCAAGGTGTGCGGAATTATAAGGCAGCTTCTTTTCCTCAGGCGAAATGGGCCGAAAGAGATTTTTGAAAAGTCAAAAATTGTAAAAAAAAAAAAAAAAAAAAAAGATAATTGCAAAGATATTGGGGCGTGGTCACAAAATCATTAACTGTTTCGCAACTGTTTAACTGCAAGAGATTTAAGAACAATCAAAACAGGAAGCTACCAGGAAGCCATTATCCTCCAGCAATCTCGGATTCCAGGAACTGCGACCTGCCCGGAGCGCCCAGAAGTACAAAGTGTTCAGCGCTCAGAGACACGGACAAGTAAGGAAAGCTGAAACCCGAGCACCGCTGAACAAGAAACGTAAGCTGAAGTGTCAACACTGGGACAAGAAACATCTGAAGACTGATTTTTCGAAGGTTTTATGGACTGTTGAGGGCGAGTCTTGACGGAGCAGGTGGACGGACCCTTGTCTGGATCAGTAACGGGCAGAGAGCTCCACTTCCGACTCTGGTATGGGCTGGTATTATTAAAGATGAGCTTGTTGGAGCTTTTCGGGTTGAAGATTGACTCAAAATAAACTCCAAAACCTACTGCTAGTTTTTAGAAGACACTTTCTTCAAGCAGTGGTACAGGAAAAAGTCTGCGTCTTTCAAGAGGACCATCGTTTTTATGCAGGACGATGCTCCGTGGATATAGCCAGTAAAGGCCTTAAAAATCTAAAATAAATATTGACTTGGTCCCCTTCCTCACCTGTTCTAAACCCTGATGAGAACTTTCTTAAACAGGAGGATTTACGGTGAAGGAAAACAATCCACCTCTGAACAGTGTCTGAAAAGCTCTGGACACTGCTGCACAGAAAGTTAAATCAGCAGCAGCTCAAGAAGTGGTAAAAGAAAATTCAATTTGTCAACTGGACGTTTCGCAGCTCATCCAAGCTGCTTCTTCAGTTCTGGTCAGACGCTGGTGGACTCTGCCTTATAGCTGCCTGCAGAGAGGAGCTAACTACACTGAAACTACTCTGAAACTAACACACACACTCGTTTACAGTTTCTGTTTGTAGCCCGGCCTATTGATCTTGCATTGAGTGTGTTAGAAAAATCATTCAGGGCCATAATGGAGCTTTCACACCTCTGACTATCCCGATTGTTTTGTTGTTTGTTTTGATTTATGCGTGTTTTAGTTTCAGAGGAGTTTCAGTGTAGTTAGCTCCTCCTTCAGGTAGATATAAGGCAGAGTCCACCAGCGTCTGACCAGAACTGAAGAAGCAGCTTGGATGAGCTGCGAAACGTCTAGTTGACAAATTGAATTTTCTTTTAACCACTTCTTGAGCTGCTGCAAAATATTCGACTAAAATAAACTCTGTCAGGTTGATAAATATAATTTTGTTTTGCCATGGATTCAACCTGGATGACAGGGATTTTACAAACAGCTCAAGAAACTGACAAACTCCATAAACAGAAGGCTTATGACCATTATTAAGAAGTGTGGCTATATTGGTAAGATTTTTTTTATTTTGAAAATGTTTATTTGTAAATTTTGAGTTGTTTATTTTCATCTGTCGAAGAGTGAACAAGTGAGAATGGGAAAGGTTCAGTTTTCATTGAGCTGCGTAATAATTCCGCACATTAATAGTTGCCCAATAATTGTGCACACAGATTTTCTCCTAAGACAGACAAAACATCACTTTTACTTTCAGAAATATTCAGGTTTGAGGTTTATTAACTTTTTGGATTGACCCAGAGCGCTGTACTTGCTCATTTATAAAATTAATCAAAAAATAATAATTAAATAGCCACCATTTGATTTGAACCTTGGTTTACACTTTTGAATTTTTTGACCCTGGCGAGGCACAACTGCAAAGTGAAAACCATTTCATCAAGAAGCTCATTGAGAGTGCGCCAAAGCAAAGTAAAAACAGGGCTACTGGATTTTAATTAAAAATATTAAAAACTAGACAGTTCCATAAATCTTGCATATATTATCTTGCATATATATAAAAAACAACATTGACAGGGAGAGTGTCCAGACTTTTGACTGATGTGTTGGTGAAAAATGTCACTTAGTCGTCAAACCCAGGCCCAAATAAACGACCCAAACGTGGAGCTGTATATTGAGAGTCGTCGTCTGGATGCGACGGTGGTTCTGTACCTGGCTGTACTCGTCCCACGTGGCCTCCTCCTCCACGCACCTCTTCCTCGCTCTCTTCCTGCTCTCGCTCGAGTTTCCATCTGAACAAAAACACAGACAGATGCTCGGGCAGCTGCTACGCAAACTCAAGACTCAAAACACAAACACACTCTGAAAATTAATCAGAGTTTCATTTACACGTTTATGTTACGTTACAAAACAACGTCGTCGTAAATAAAAGATAAGAGAATAAAAGACGAATCAAACGTGCACGAATCAGTCCAAATAAAAGTTCAGGTGAGTAAACGGTGAAGGGGAAGTACAGCGCGGGGAAAAACAAACTCTGAAAAGTGGATTCTGTGCGACAGGTTTACGTTAAAATACAACGTTCAGTGAGAGAACGAAGAGAGAACGAAGAGAGAACAGGATCAGAGAGAGAGATAAAGGGGGAGAAAGAAAGAGAGGAAGATATAGAGTGAGGGAGAGAGGACAGAGAGAGAGAGAGAGAGAGACAGAGAGAGAGACAGAGAGAGAGAGAGAGAGAGACAGAGAGAGAGAGAGAGACAGAGAGAGACAGAGAGAGAGAGAGAGAGAGAGAGAGAGAGAGAGAGAGAGACAGAGAGAGAGAGAGAGAGAGAGAGACAGAGAGAGAGAGAGAGAGAGAGAGAGAGAGAGAGAGAGAGACAGAGAGAGAGAGAGAGAGAGAGACAGAGAGAGAGAGAGACAGAGAGAGAGAGAGAGAGAGAGAGACAGAGAGAGAGAGAGAGACGAGAGAGAGAGACAGAGAGAGAGACAGAGAGAGAGAGAGAGAGACAGAGAGAGAGAGAGAGAGAGAGAGACAGAGAGAGAGAGAGAGAGACAGAGAGAGAGAGAGAGAGAGACAGAGAGAGAGAGACAGAGAGAGAGAGAGAGAGAGACAGAGAGAGAGAGAGAGAGAGACAGAGAGAGAGAGAGAGAGAGAGAGAGAGAGACAGAGAGAGAGAGAGAGAGAGAGAGACAGAGAGAGAGAGAGAGAGAGAGAGAGAGAGACAGAGAGAGAGAGAGAGACGAGAGAGAGAGAGAGAGACAGAGAGAGAGAGAGAGAGACAGAGAGAGAGAGACAGAGAGAGAGAGAGAGAGAGACAGAGAGAGAGAGAGAGAGAGACAGAGAGAGAGAGAGAGAGACAGAGAGAGAGAGAGAGAGAGAGAGAGAGACAGAGAGAGAGAGAGAGAGAGACAGAGAGAGAGAGAGAGAGACGAGAGAGACGAGAGAGAGAGAGACAGAGAGAGAGAGACAGAGAGAGAGAGAGAGACGAGAGAGAGAGAGAGAGAGAGAGAGAGAGAGAGAGAGAGAGAGAGAGAAACAGAAGCTGTTTTCAGGACGGTCAGAACGATGTCGGTTCCCGCACCAGATCCACCGGGAACCAAAGTTCTCACCGGTGAACGACCCACGTTCAAACTATTTACATGAACCCATGACTCGTCAACGAGAGGAGGTGTGGATTTATACCAAATAAAAACAAGGCCATATGAAAACGGACGACACAGGGAGGAAAATAACAATCATGGATCACATCATCAACACCAGCGAGTGTTTGTACTTATACAAGTCATTATTTATGTGCCAAACTCTGCTACAACATCGATGCCCAGTCCAAAGCTGTAATCTTATCAGGCGAACACGGACACATGCAAGATCAACGCTACATAATAGTTTTTGTAGAGTAAAAACTTTTCATTTCATATGTGAATTGAAAAGTCGGCCTGAAAACGCCTAGAGACAGACTTTATTGATCTGAGGAAATTCAATCATACGTCTCATTTAAAAACATCTTTATAAAAACAAAAGCCGCTGTGGTTTCCTTCGGTGTCGGCAGCGTCTGTGTAGTTTTTTTTTTGCCCCGTACCTTGAGGTGAGGACGCTCCCCCGGTGAGTTTGGGGCAGAAGGGGGAGGGCGGTTCTGCGGCCGTCAGGGGGCTGTTCTCGTTGGTCAGCTCCACTCCGCTGTCGTTCTCCGAGAGCGCCTCGGCCGGAGACTTGTCCCCGTTCACTGCCGCCTGGAGACAAGAGAGGAAAAGCACACACAACAATAACTCGTTAGGACATTTTACATAATGAATCGCCAACAAAGAAAATCACCATAAATCACCAGAATGTGCAAAAAAAAAAAAACAAAAAAAAAAAGACAGTTATCCATGATGTTTTCCTCTAGATCAGGAGAGTCAAACTCAAATTCACAGAGGCAAAAATTAAAAACTGGGACTAAGTTGTGGGTCTAAATATTTATTGAAAAATTTCAACAACATCTGTATGTTTTCTCTTCTTTCGAGATATGTAATGTTAAACCTTTTCTTATTAAAATTAATAGTTTTGCTTAAAAATTGAATCCAGAAAAAGCAGAATATGAAATAATAAATACATTTTATAAAAATAATGTCTCTAGCCGGCGAGCAGCTCTAATACATATTTGATATGATCTTGCAGGCCAAATATAATTATATCATGCACCAAATTTGGCCCCTGGGCCTGAGTTTGACATGTCTGATACGGGGTATAGAATAAAAAAAGCGTAGACAACAATAATTTGTTGGGACATTTTACATAATCGTGAGAATCGCCAAACAATCAAAATCACTAAAATGTGCCAAAAAAAAAAAAAGACACTTATCCAAGATGTTTTGTTCTAGATCATTATGGTTTCACTTATAACTAAGTACAAAACTATAACAAGTTGTTTAAAGTTGCACTGCGTAACTTTTAGGTTGGGGGTCCGTCACCTGCGTCTCCTCTACTTGGAATGTTCCACAGTTTGGCATTAAATAGCTTTACCTTACATGTATTCCATTACAGCTGGTTTTAACAGGCATTCTGACCGTGAGTGGGGTCGCCTCTCCACAGATCTGACCTTTAATTGCACCTTTATATATGAAACCTTATTATTCATAACCACAACATAACATTTTTAAACTATCAGCAACTTTCAGAATTATCCTTTTATGATCGTTAATCACAATTATCTTGGCCATGATAATCGTAAAACCAAATTTCTATTTCAGTATCGTCCCAGGCCGAGAACTGAACGCCATCTGACACAATCTTCTTCCGCTATGGACCATAACTGGGCAACTGAGGGACTAAACAGACGTCAATCAAGTGTTATAAACCGATTCAAAAATGTATTTAGACAAAACTTTGGATTTGTACTCATTACTAAAAGCAAAATGAGAAAAACAGGACGCAATTAGACAAAATGGGCAACTAGACTGTACGAAAACAGAACCACTCAACTGAATGGCTTCTGAATCATCGTTTTCAACTTTTACAAGAACATATTTCTTACTGCAACCAAAAACAAATTAAAAGGGAACAAACCCACAGGCGTTTAATCTAACACACTACAGGGTTTTTCAGTCTTAAATGATTTTTAAACAAGCAACAACAAGCGCACGCCACAGACACGAGGAGAATCTTGTGAGACTTAAATCTACGATCATAAAAACTGCAGCGGGATCTGTCTGATCTGCGGACCACACGCTGCAGAGTGGTGAGAGTGATTGTGTCAGCTGATTCCCGTCTACTTGGAAAGATCAGAGCACTGTACTTCCAGTTTAGATGCAAAACAAAAATTATTATTTGAGAAATGTGGTGCAAAACTTCAGATACATGATTTTTAATGCACACATGGCTGTCGATAAAGTCCACATGAAGTAGAGTCTTGACTGTTAATCTGCAGCTTCACCTCGATGTGTGGATGTAAACAGACACATGGAAGGAACTACTCCCACCTTTTTACTTTTTAAGAACGGTTCAGGCTACATTTACACAGAGCCTGGTTTGTTGAGAAACGAATATTTCCCTCCCTCCGTTTTCCAAAATAACATCATGCGCACAGCATCGTTTTCAAAAAAGTTTTCGTTTACATCGACCTGCATCAATCCTCCATCGAGCGCCGTCGTAACTACACCGAGCAGAAGAAATGCGACTGCTGATCTGAGTGCTGCATCATCAAACAGACTGAACTGGGACCAAACCAGGACCAAACCACGGTCAAACCAAGACCGAGCCAGGACCGAGCCAGGTCTAAACCAGGTCTAAACCAGAGCTGAACCAGAGCTGAACCAGGACTAAACTACCGTATTTTCCGGGTGATTAGGGTTATAAGAGGCACTGTCATTTTCCCGAACTTTTTTCACATATAAACCGCACCGGACTATAAGGCGCGTTAAATGAAACACAACAGTTAGGTAAATCAGTCAAACTTTAACGCGTTTACTCGTTACGTTAACTCTCAACTTTGTTCATTTGTAACACGTAAAAAACAAAAAACTGTCTGAGACCGATAAATTGTCAGCGTATTCACAATAACTCATAATTGTTCGGTTATAACTAAAAATAACACATTAGGTCGTTTTCACACCGCTAGTTCGATTATTTGGTCCACACCAGGCAATAAAATTGTTATTATGTAGCAAATACACTCCAGTGTGGTCCGCGTTCACACCGGCAAACGAACCAAAACTGGTTTGACTGATGTGTCTCTGTTTCCCGGGAAAACAGAGATACTCCAGTTATCAACACCGATGTTCCTGTTCATACCACGGGCCGTCCTCATCTCAAATTATCATCATGAACTCATAAAACAGCAACATGTAGAACTTTGTACAAACTCACTGCACATCAGCCCAGGGTTCGGGTAACAGCAGCAGCCGCAGTAGCGCGCAGCTCCTCAGGACGGGGCTGGGGTCTGGTCCTTGGTCTTCTGTCGTCCTACAAGCTCGTTGGTCAGATGGTCCGGAGGCTCTGTCCTCCATGTGCTGGTTCTAAACGGTGGCGAGCAAGACCAGTGCTTGATGGACTGAGTCCGAGCGGGTACGTTCCGTCGTCTGCGCGCTGTTTCCGCGAGGGAAAAGCAAGAATGCGCTGTGGACTACAGGTCCGGGCGCTGCTCTGGTTCTCCGCGCTCAAGAACCGCGGCTGGTTCCGAGGTGGTGCAGCATCCGGACAGAAGCGTGAGTCCAGTTTGGTTTGTTATATGTTGTTCTGAGCGTCCGTCCTCCGCGCATTTGGTTCTTCCCGGGGAAAGCGCTTCCTCAGGTCGAGGCTCCCCGCTCCAGCTCCTCTGAGCCCGGCCTGAACCGGAGCTGCTCCCGCTGGTTCAGGACTCTGGTTTGGATCTAGTCCGACTGTATTTCTCACACTAGGCTAAAAGCAGGACATTTTTTAAAGGTGAATCAATTGAATGGGCGATTGCCATAAAATTATTTGGTTAATTAAAGCCTAAAATAACAAATGCTGGTTCCTACATGATCACGGGGAACACCGGGTCGTCTCTGTGCGTGCAGGTCCTGAACAGAAGTACACACCCCCAATTTTGACTCACTCTGGAGCCACATGTTCGCACACTGGTTCTTGCTCTGATCTTCGTGTGTTACATTCTCTGTATTGGCCATTGTTGGTAAAATAATTCGAAAATGAATTGCGGCTGCGTCTGGACAACAATCTGTTACTGCGCTGGAGTCGCAGATCAATAGGGACGGAGATGTGTGGAAAAAACCATCCGGTCTCTTAAGGTAAACTTCTCACAGCCAGTCGCTCATCTTTTCCTCGTCCACAGGAAAAATGAGGAATCACTGTACGTATTACTCCGCGATGCTCCTGACTACGGTAGCCGTAATGCTGCAAGTGGTGCGGCTTTGTCGTTTACTGAAGTTGTACTGGAACACAAATTCATATAAAAGGCGCTCCGGATTATAAGGCGCGCAGTCGTTTTTGGAGGCTTAAGACCTAATCGTCCAGAAAATACGGTAGGTCTAAACTAGATCCTAAACTGAGGACTGAACCAGAAGAACTAAACTAGGACAAAACCAGAGTTGAACCAGGACTAAACCAGGACTAAACCAAGACTAAACCAAGACTAACCCAAGACTAAACCAAGACTAACCAAGACTAATCCAAGACTAACCAAGACTCAAGACTAACCAGAGCTGACCAGGACTGAACCAGGACTAAACCAGGACTAAACCAGGACTAAACCAGGACTAAACCAGGACTAGGACTTTGAAACTAGGACTGCCCGAGCGAACCCTGAGCCCGTGGAGCAGGGTGTCCGCAAAGCACGATTGGGCGTCGGCTGATCTTCGTCCCATGAGGCGTGGAGTTCTGCGTCGGTCCTTTTCGCCCGTGATCACCCGACGGCCTCCAGGCCTGTCCAGTGGTGATTTTCATTCATTTGTATGAAGAAAAACTAAAAACCCACCACTTCAATCCAGGTTAAAATGCATTGTGACGCGTGTTACTCACATTTGTACAGAGTAAAATATTAACTTTTTTTCCCCTGTAACGCCACATTACTGTGTTACAACAAAAAGCAACACAGTACAGTAATTCGTTACTTTTATAACGCGTTACTCCCAACACTGAATCGAGGACAGTTTATGCTTTTTGATATTGACAATACCTGACAAAATCATGGTAAACTACAACCTGTGTAAATGGGATTGTGTTGCAGGAAAACTGAAGAATATTATGAAACTTTACGATGCTGTGACATTAGTAACATATAGATATAAATGGGATCACAGTGACGCATTTAATTGTGCGGTTGCCCAACTACCAGAGGGCAGCGGGTTCAAAAAGTAGGTCACAAAAACAAAACACCCAGACAACTACTGTGTTATATTTACAATTTCAATCAATTACAATCTTAAACCATCACTTTCCTGTCATCTCGACAATTATAAATGGCAGACGCCGCCGCTCGACTCTGAAAAGTGCTGTCAGGGCAGGGCTGCGCTGACGTGTTAAAACATAATAAATCTGTAAACTCGACAAATGAACGTTTTATCTGTCAAAATTCTGACTAGCGCCCAAATTACTTTCACCATCTTTCAAAATGTTAAGGCCGAACGTTTACAGATAAGACAAATTATCAGACAGAAGCTCAAGCACAGACTAGAAAAAGCCCTCCGGAGGAAACTACGTAATCTTCATATAAAAACTATATCTGTACTGGGATAAACTCTTTATAATTACATGCAGACTTACCTCATCAGGAAGT